CCGCTGCCGCTGCCGCAGCCGCCACCTCCACCACATCTATGGCCACGCCTGCCGCTGCGCCCGCAGCCGCCGCCAAGTCGAGTGTGTCGACGAGCTCGAGCGACGTGCGCGTATCGAGCGAGCTGGCGGTGAGCATTTCGGATCTGTGGGACCTGCTCACCAACGCGTCGCGCATCCCCATGTGGACGCGCGCACCCGCACAGTTTGAGGCCAAGGCGGACACCGAGTTCGCGCTGTTCGGCGGCAACATTACGGGCAAGGTGATCAGCGTCGATGCGCCCAAGCAGCTCATCCAGAAGTGGCGCACGCCCCAGTTCCCGCAGGGCCACTACGGCACGCTGGCGCTCAATCTCACCGAGGGCGGCGACTCGACCAAGCTCGAGCTCGTGCTCAGCGGAGCTCCATCGGGCGAGGAGGAGAGCGTCGAGAAGAACCTCGAGACCTACTACATCCGTGGTCTCAAGTCGATGGGGTGAGTACTTTGGGTCTCGGCTCTTTTCCTTTGCTCATCGTTACTGACGCGTCCAAACCTCTCCTCCTTTCCTTTCTATCTGACGCTTCTTACCTCCGCACAGCCTCGGAACCATCTTGTAGAGCAGCCAGCGTCGTTCTACAGTCTCGTATATAACCTGCGCAAAACAGCAAAACCTTGCGTTTCACAATACTTACAAGGAGGCAGCCGCTTTGTACTGTCGACTGGTCGGCTGATTCGTCCTGTTGCCTGCATGGCTGTCGCTGCTGACCATTGACTGTGACGCCTTGAGACAAGCTTCGTTGGGAGAGGGTGAGCTCGGAGGTGCTCGAATAACTAATATGTTACGTCTTCTAGAACTTGCGTCTGGTTCGAGCGAAAAATCGCGCCGGACCCGAAAAGGCCGCACCAAACGTCGGGCTTCTGATTGGGCGCTGGTGCGCTGTTGCGATGGCTGGGCTGACAGTGTGCGACGGGTGCGAAAAATACTTAGCAGCCGCCCGCACGCTCTGGAATTCAAACCCGGCTCTCCAGTCAGCGCAGCAGCGCGAGACAGCGCAACGAAGCGCCAGGCAGTGGGCGCGGATCACCTTTCGGATTCACTTAGTCAGGCCCAGCTTGCCAGTCAGCCAGCCAGCCAGCCAGCCCACAGAAGCCTCGCTCGCTCGCGGGCCATCGCCAGTCTCGTTTGGCGCGCTTCCAACTCTCGCTTTCTCGCTCTCTCGCTTTCTCAAATCCGACCTTCCCATCACCACCCATCATCGGCGCTCGCCACCGACATCCCCTCTTTTGCGCACTCCGGGATCCTCTGCGACGCTCACCACTCTCCACTCGAGCACCGCACCGCGTCGCCTCTCCATATTCGGCCGTCGATTCTCTTGCGCGTCGGCCCACATCAGCGCGCTGATCGCACAGCTTCAGCCTAATACACCTTAGCAGCGACATCTACCTTCGCCCACCATGCTGCGCTCTCTCGCCGCCTCCAGCTCGGCCGCCCGCGTCGCCC